CTATAAAGAACTTATCAAACTCAACACCCAAAAAACAACTAATCCCATCAAGAAATGGGCAGAAGACATGAACAGACATTTCTGCAAAGAAGACATCCAAGTGGCTAACAGACACATGAAAAAGTGCTCAACATCACTTGGCATCAGGAAAATACAAATCAAAACCTCAATGAGATACCACCACAAACCAGTCAGAACAGCTAAAATTAACAAGTCAGGAAACAACAGATGTTGGTGAGGATGCAGAGAAAGGGGAACCCTCCTACACTGTTGGTGGGAATGCAAGCTGGTACAGCCACTCTGGAAAACAGTATGGAGGTTCCTCAAAAAGTCAAAAATAGAGCTACCCTATGACCCAGCAATTGCACTACTGGGTATTTACCCCAAAGATACAAATGTAGTAATCCAAAGGGGTACGTGCACCCCCAGGTTTATAACAGCAATGTCCACAACAGCCAAACTATGGAAAGAGCCTAGATGTCCATCAACAGATGAATGGATAAAGAAGATGTGGTATATATATATACAATGGAATATTATGCAGCCATCAAAAAAATGAAATCTTGCCATTTGCAACCGTGGATGGAGCTAGAGGGTATTATGCTAGGCGAAATAAGTCAATCAGAGAAAGATAAGTATCATATGATCTGAATGATATGAGGATTTTGAGAAACAAGACAGAGGATCATAGGGGAAGGGAGGGAAAAATGAAACAAGACGAAACCAGAGAGGGAGACAAACCATAAGAGACTCTTAATCTCAGGAAACAAACTGAGGGTTGCTGGAGTGGAGGGGGGTGGGAGTGATGGGGTGGCTGGGTGATGGACACTGGGGAGGGTATGTGCTATGGTGAGCTCTGTGAGTTGTGTAAGACTGATGAATCACAGACCTGTACCACTGAAACAAATAATACATCATATGTTAATAAAAAAAAAAAAAGAATGCAGCTAGATCCTCACATGTAATAAACTCTATTTTAAAAGAATTTTTAAAAATTAACTTAAACATAATAAGAATAAAATATAAAAGAATATATTTGTGATCATAGTTTAAAAAGGACCTTTTGAATGACACATAGAAAGACATTAAGCAGAAACAGAAATTTTGATAAATTCGATTACATTAAAAAACCCTTTGGTATAGCAAAAGCAGTTACACTCTGTCTCCCCATGCCCTCGTTTTTCTTTTTGATTTTCAAGGTCAAGGAATGGTTTTATGTATTTGCTCTTCTATCTGTTGGAAATAATAAAATACCCTTTTTAGATAAAAAGAAAGGCACCATAAACAAAGTTATATATCTAGTGGTGTACTAGGACAAGATATTTGCAATACTTGTAACAAAACGTTGAAATAATAAGAAAGAAAAGAATAACAGAAAAATAGAAAAAGGATATTAAGAGGTTAGTATAAAAATACCCAAGCTCATTAATAAACACATAAATGCATATTAAAAAAACAATGAAATATCATTTTTCATTTACCAGATTGGAAGAAATCATAAAAGTTTGGTAATATCAAGAATTTGCAAGGATGTGAGAGAATAACAGTTATTTTCAACCCTGCTGGTGATAGGGCAAATTGGTATGTGTTGAAGGCATTTTGATAGTATCCATCAAAACTGAAAATGCACATAACCTAGGTAACTATTCTAGAAAAACTCATATTTGTGCAAAATGAGACAAATAAAATGTATTTGTTGTAACACTGTAAATAAAATCTGGTCTTATCATACAATGTAACACTATACAAAAACAAGTGAACTACATTTTTTAATGTGTATAATCTCAAGAATACTGTTGAGTAAAGAGAAAATTGCAAAGAAAGTGATACATTCTTTGATAGGATTTATATAATATGTATGTATACAGTAGATATATCCCTGGAAAACAGAGTATTATTTTATCTATTTTTGTATCAATCATATGGAATATTAATTTTACAGGTCTAGAATGGTAATATAAACTCATAAAAGTTGTTACTTTGGGTAGGGGCATGGGCACTAGGATTTGAAGGCATGGTTAAAAGGCTTTTTACTTTTGTCTGTAAAGTTCTAATTTTTCAAAAGTAAAATGCACATGGGTATTACTTTTATAATAATAATTAATTTTAAAGAATCCACTGCATTTGGCAGTAAGTATGCAATGGGTGAACTTTACTATACATTCGAATGGATAAGTAGAGGCAAAAGGTAAATGCATTGAAAAATTAAAATGCGTTCAGGATCTAGAGAGGGTGATTATAGACTTATTCTGAGGAATTGGGACATGAAGGGAAATGGATAGTGGGAAAATAGATGGGACATTGGATATAGGGAAAGAGTATTTTTGTTACAATATCTATATCTATACAAAATCTCTCTCATATATGTATATAATATATACATACAATGTATAAGGAAAAGGCCACTGAATGGGTTAAAAAGTAGAAATAGATTATCACATAGGAGAGAAGGAATAAATTGATGAAGTGAATTATCTTGCCCTAAACATTTAGGGACTATGCATGTTTGTTAATGATATGGTAGATTAAGGACATGGCTCTGCTTCTGACCAACCAATTTTCAAGGTTTTCTACCATTGTGAAAATAATTTTAATGAGAAATTTGTCTATATAATATTCTGATTATTTTGGTAATTTTAAACCAAGCATCCTTAACTGGAAATTTTGTAGAGAAAATAAGAAAAAGTTACCCCAATAGAAATCCCCACTGCCAGGGAAAATTCATAAGGAAGTGGGAAACAACAGCAGTTGAACATGCCTCCATGAGGCAGGGACCAATTGCCAACCTTAAACAAACTCTCTTCAAATGCCTCAAAGCCTGAAATATAAAAATAATCACATTTAGACAAACTTATAATGGCCAACAAGAAAATTATTTAAGTAAATTCTGAAATATATAGTCTTTTTTGATTAATTAGCTTTTACTAAACTAAATCTTCCAGATTATTCCACTGGGCTTGAAATGCTAATGCACCTCATTTTATATGTCAGATTGGAATTAGAAACTATTTCACATTTTATAAAACATTGTTGTATTTAAATTATTTTAAAAGATCCATTTGTCTGTAATTAAATAACTATTTCTACCTTCTTAATCTTCCTTGTAAATAGTATAATGAAAGTAACCTATAGGTTTATTTCCATCAGTTAACTTTTAGAAATGACTTGTTGGATCAATTTAATAATTATAATAGAAAATATCAATGTGCCAAAAGAGAAAATCACTTAAAGACAGCATAACTCACTAAAAGGGAGAACTTTAAAATTTTCTCATTGGTTTGATTTTTCTACTGGAGAATATAATAAATTATCACTGTCTTTATGCTCTTTTTAAAAAAGATTTTTAAATTTATTTGACACACACAGAGAGAGAGCGCAGAAGCAGGGGGAAGCTGCAGAGGGAGCGGGAGAAGCAGGCTCCCTGCTGAGCAGAGAGCCTGAAGTGGGGGCTCCATCCCAAGACCCTGGGATCATGACCTGAGCAGAAGGCAGATTCTTAACCGATGGAGCCACCCAGGTGCCCCTGTCTTTATTCTCTTGACATATTTCCACTACACTCATCTATTTGCTGTTTGAGTACTGTTATACTCATGAGTAGTCATCTTTTTAAAACCCAAATAGATTTATGATTCCTAGATATTAATATTTTAAGAAATATTTAAAAAGATTAGCTTCTACAATAATGCAAAGGTAATCAGGCGCATACTTCTGTGGGGTGGAAAATGTCACGAAACAAAAATATTACCAAAATTCTTAACCCTTCTGAAAAACAAAACAAAAGAAAAGCAAAAACAGTTTAGGAGTGGACCTTATCCTTTATTAATTGAAAAGTAAATAGTTCTCCATAGAAAAGCTGCAGCTCCCAAATAATACAAATGCTGTACAAAGGACATGTATTTCTATGCACATAATTAAAGATGAGCTCTAATAAAGATCTCACATGATTAAAGATGATCTCTAATAGAGATCTTACATCATAATAATTCTCTTCATATCAGTAATAATGGTGACCAGAAGTAGAAATTGTAAGATGCCAGTATTTCTGCAAAACCCTTTTCTCTTAGTTTTGCTTACAGGCTTCACTTGGAACAGCTATAACAAAAATTCTGCCTCTTTTTCTTTTTTACTAGCCTCTAATATTTAAAATATTTTTTTTCAAGATATAATTAGAAATCTACCTGTGGATCGAGTCCAAGCCCAGCTTGTATTAGGATAACAGTAAGGGCAGTGGTTCTTAAAGTTGAAGACCACGTGTTATTAACATGGATGTAATTACTGAGGAATGGAACATTCCTGACAGTAAAACCAGCCAGTAACATCCCTTAAAAGAAAGAAAATAGGCATGTCTGATTCAGCTCATTTTTCTAAGTTAGGAAAGAGAAATGTTTAATTTCCCTTCTTCAAACACACTACGTCTCATTGCTTCGGTGAAGGGTAGCTTACATACAAATAGAGGAGGCAGTATAAGTAAAGGAACGGAGATAAGAAATGACATATCTCAAAAGGCTGCAACAAGTAATTCAGTGTTGTTGGAACATAAAGGGCACGGATAGGAGTGGGAGAATGGGCAGGAGGGGCCAGAAAATATGAAGCTAACCCCCCCGCAGCCTCTACTCCCATTGCTTTGGCAGAGTAATGCACCATAGGGAAGTTTTAGGAGGAAGTGACATAATGAGTCTTGTATTTTCTGTGATGGTCTTGATGAATTAGATAGACACAAAACTGGAGGAGAGAACAATTAGAAGGCTCTGCCATAGTCCATGGAAGAGTTGGAAAACAAATAGCCTAAGCTAGGACAAGAGTGGAAGTTTTGGAGAAAAAGAAGATTCAATAAATACTTAGCAGGTGCTGAAAGGGTGTTGTGGACATAGAAAGGGTATTAGCAATAGGATGGAGTGATTATCTCTAATGACAGTGTACTGAATATTTGGGTGTATTGAATACTTAGAAGATATGAGACACCACTAATAGAAGTTCTTCCACTAATTTCCCTCTGTCCAGATGGAGAGTTATAAACTAATGGTAATGAAGAAATAGGATATAATACTAGTTAGGCAGATGATGCATCCATGAATATACATAGCTTACTCAAATAGCTTACTCAAAAACCATAAAACCTTCTTATGCCCTAATCACTATAGTATTTGAATCTTACAATTGTATCTGAGTTAGGCTATCTATAGAAAAATTCAGTCTTTTCTACAATATATTTAAAATTAACTAAAAAATGTCCTATTAAACAATAAAGCAACAGGAATCATATATTGAATATATTTAAATTATTTCAAAAATATATTTCAGAAAAAAATCTGTGTGCTCATGTGTAGAAAGAATAAATAGTTCTATAAATGAGCTATATGCATACATATACAGTAAATACATACATAAAGATCATATTACATTGAAATATTTCTAAATTATATCTATTCTGACTAGAGTATGTTCATAATTTGCACATAGTTAATAACAAAAAAATAAGAGCTAACTGTACACTTACCAAGAAGAGGTGGAAGTTGAGGCACTGAAGGTATTCTAATGAGTTCCAAAAGTTTCCCCCCAATAATGGCACTATAAAAGATAATTAATAGTCCAAATAAATTTCCACCAGGGAGAACTTCAGGGCCTGAGAATGACCAGACTACACACCATGCCATAAAAAATGCAACTCCTGAAATATAAAAAAAAGCATATATCTATATATCTACATAGACATAGATACATATGTACAAAAGATGAATTCTATTTTATCAAATATCATATTAATAGTCCTATATAATGAATAATACATAGCATAGACTAATGTTGCTTGCTAGTATAATTGAAGAAATATCTGTTTAACATATATTCCAAAGTCCCTATGAATTTATGGGACAAGTTTTTAACAAAGTATTATTATTATTTTTTTGAGGATACTTGAAATATGTTTAATAATAAAAGACAACCAACATTCTCTTTTTATTCTTATTTGCATTTATCCTATGCAGAATTTACTCCCGGACCATAAGTTTTTGTTTCTTCAGTCTCTTCTGGGATATCTTTTTCTTCTGTGAAACCTCCTCTTCTGGTTAGGAACAATCAGCTCTTTTTCAGTAAGGATCATCTCAATGTGGCAGGGAGAGCTCATGTATGGGTTAATCCAACCATGAGCCCTGTAAATTCTGTGCTGTGTCTTGGGGGCTTTGTTCACCTGGATGTGCTCAATGACCAGAGAATCAACATCTAAACCCTTGAGTTCAGTATTACTCTCTGCATTTTTAAGCATGTGCAGTAAAAATTCAGCACTCTTCTTGGGCCACCAGCCCTGTGTCCAGCCCCACTGTTTGGCCTGGGCACACCTACCAACTCCACCATTGTAGCGACAGAATGGCACACACTGCTTCTGCAAAGTGACATCCTTCAGATACTTGGTGGCTTTTCGGATATGCATACCCTTGATGGCCTGGGCAGTTTCACGTGTGTTCTTAAAGTGAATACGCAGATTTGAATCTCTTGATTTGCATGATTTTGTAGGGTTTTCTGGGTCAAGCGAATAGCGAAACATTTTCTGAGGTCACCTCAGGCCGCTTAGGGGAAGAGCCAAAGTATTATTATTTAAAAAAATATTTTAAAAGTATATGTGAGTCCTTTAAAGTGCTAAACTATTCTCATAATATAGTTATGGTAATATTATGAGATTTACTTCATTTTATATCTTAGAGTAGCTTTTGTTTCTTAAATTCCACATATGAGTGAAATCATATGGTATTTGTCTTTCTCTGACTGATTTATTTTGCTTAGCATAATACACTGAAGCTCCATCCATGTCATTGCAAATGGCAAGATTTCATTCTTTTTGATGGCTGATTAATATTCAATTTTATATATATATAATTATATATATATAAGGAAGATGTGATATATACATATATATCACATATATATCACATCTTCCTTATCCATTCATCAGTTGATGGACATTGGGCTCTCTCCATAGTTTGGCTATTGTTGATAATGCTGCTGTAAACATTAGGGTGCATGTACCCCTTCGAATCTGTATTTTTTTTTTTTAAAGATTTTATTTATTTATTTGAGAGAGAGACTGAGATAGAGAGAGCAAGAGAGGGGGGAGGGTCAGAGCGAGAAGCAGACTCCCTGCTGAGCAGGGAGCCCAATGCGGGACTCAATCCTAGGACTCCAGGATCATGACCTGAGCCGAAGGCAGCCGCTTAACCAACTGAGCCACCCAGGCGCTCCTGTATTTTTGTATTCTTTGGGTAAATACCTAGTATTGTAATTGCTGGATCGTAGGGTAGTTCTATTTTTAACTTTTTGAGGAACCTCCATACTGTTTTCCAGAGTGGATGCACCAGTTTTGCATTTCTATCAACAGTGCAAGAGGATTCTCCTTTTTCTGCTTCCTCATCAACACCCCTTGTTTCTTGTGTGTTGTTAATTTTAGCCATTCTGACAGGTGTGAGGTAGTATCTCATTGTGGTTTTGATTTGTACTTCCCTGAGAGAAGCATTTATTCCTAAAGAAAAAAAAAAAAAAAAGCCAGGGTTTTGGGTAGGACTGCTGAAAGTCTGAGGCCTTCCTGCCTGGGATTGCTATTACTCCTCCCCTCGTTTTCCCTCACTTACTTCATTTGGGAAAAACTTTAGTTTTACCAGCATGGAGCTAGATTAAAAACCAGTTGCTTTGTTGCCAGAGGAGGTGGAGCAGATTTGATATGGAGTGGAGGGAGAAAACCCTGACTTTGCTGGCTAAAAATGGCAGACTGGTTTCAGAATCAGCAGAAAAAAACATGCAGTGGTGCTAGTTTGAGGTTGCAATTCAAGTTGATATGAGTAGCAGACAAGCTAAAAATTTAACTGGGAGACCTTAGATATGACAGATTCAGAAAGGTTGAGGTAAGTTCTCCACATATCTATGGCTGATTGGGAAAGTATGCAAGTGCAGAGAAGACTCCAGAGAGTATGGCAAAAAGTAAAAAAAAAAAAAAATGATGTGAGACTTGATTACCAGCAGCAATTTTGAATGCCTTCTTCAACCCAACTACAGATCACTTGGCAGAGAGTAGAAGCCTTAATGGCTTAAACACAATGTCTCCCCTAAATCATTAGGTGACTATTAAGCTATGCAGACAAAAGAGAAACCCTTAGGAAGACAGGCTAAAGACAAACAAAAACTAAGAGACATCAGCTGCTGCAAAACATGGGGCAGAATGATTCCACCAATTTAAGTACATGCAGGGGGGGCGGAGCAAGATGGCGGAGGAGTAGGAGACCTGGATTTCGTCTGCTCTCAGGAATTCAGCTGGATAGGGATCAAACCATTCTGAAC